CACATTTGGCATTTACTGAGGTATCTAACATATAATGTTTTTATAAACATCCTCTAGATATCTAAAAGGCAGTGGTGTATTCTCTGTTCATAAGCACTATGCACCTATTAAATCCATTTTTAAATATAGTTTGAATTCTCTTATCCTTGGTCTGTAAAAGGTTGTGATATAGGGGAGCTGTTTCTCAAGAAAATTGACTTTCTGTGACTCTCTTTGTTTCCAACAATCTTATATTATTTATGTCAATGTTATGCTATTTATTTACATAAAGCTCCATTATTATTATAGCTATCGTGTGGCTACATATTTTTTGGAAATGTAAAATGATACTCTCTTTTTCTTCCTAATTATTTTAGTTTTAAACTTTGAATAATATTGCCAACTCTACTTTTTTGTTTGAATGTTTCTGTATATTTTTGTTTATTCTTTTGTTTTTAGCCTCTTTGATACATAATTTAGAATATGATGCTGGCATATTGAATAGAATTTGATTTTATTTTTCATTAAGTTTAAGAGTCTTTCTTAAGAAAGATAAACGCCTTTATAGTTTGTTTATTTCTTGTATGTGTGATCTTCTAGTGTATGATCCTATGACATGATTTCTCTTTTCTAATGAGAAATTTGACTTTTCTCTTGTAGATCTTTTCCCAGTTTTTGTGTTCTTTGTGTATTAAAATTTACACACAATGTTTTAAATTCCATTAGAAGACACATTTTTTTTAAAAAATCTTAGACTTAGAGTTATCCAAAATATTAATGCCAATAACAAAATAGTGTCTCTTGGTTTTCCCTTGTAAGACACTGCATTGCTAGCTCTCCTGGTGACACGGAAGTCCTGTGATGTGGGAAAATGGGGACATCAGCTCTGAGCAGAAAGATGAATAGAAGAGTAGGACCCTGAAGTGGAACCAGATTTATTTTACTTCTATTTCCCTTTTTTTTAATATGCATAAGAATGGTATATGACTTAAAATTCTATACTTATATAAGCCTTAAGAAGGTATCTCAAGGGGCGCCTGGGTGGCTCAGTTGGTTAAGATCTGCCTTCGGCTCAGGTCATGATCTCAGGGTCCTGGGATCTGGCCCCATGTCAGGCTCCCTCCTCAGCGGGGAGTCTGCTTCTCCCTCTGACCCCCCCCCCCCCCCCGCTCATGCTTGTGTGCTTTCGCTCTCTCTCAAATAAATCAATAAAATCTTTAAAAAGATGCTTTTAAAAAGGTATCTCAATTAATATAACAAAAATATCAAGTGATCGAATACCACGTCATAGTTTAAATGGCAGAGATTTTTCTTCTTTAGTGGGACCTAAAATAATGGTGTGTTTAGGATGGTGTCATAGATGAGAAGAAATCTTACATGTTTTTTGAAAACCCTTTTTTCTGCACGAAAAAGGAAGGCTGAGATCATTGTTTCAACATCAGAAATCCTAAAAGAGGTAAGTAAGATTGGCCATGCCTCACTCTGCCTCACTGTGGAGAGGAGGTTGCACCTGGTGACCAGGGCTGCCAGGGTGTGGGAGAGCTGGGGGCTCTTCAAAAGCCCCTGGGTCACATGCTGCGGCAGGAGCAAGGGGCTGACTTCTGGGCTGTTACTGCAACTGATGGGGGTACCATGATCTGTCAGCAGTTGGGACAGAGTAGCACAAAAGTGAGTCACACCCAAAGAGAAAATTCTCCTCTTCTCCTCCTGTGGAGCCCAGACAGATCTCATCCTTATGTCAGCGTGTCCCTAAATCTCTGCAGAGGAAAGCATTTGAAATACATATCTAGGTGACCCGGGCAGCAATATCCAGTCAGCAAGGATGCCAGGGGGCACTGGATCTTTCAAACCATACTGATGACAAGCAGACGTGGCTGGACTTGTGCTGGACACAGGGACCTCTACCACACTACTTGGTTATGGTGACAACCTTCTTATCGCATCTGAGCCAGAGGCCTACTCGATAGCACCACACAGTTGCCGGGTTAGTAACCCAGCAGACTGAGAACAGAGACCAAGGGCCAGGATTGTCCATCTCTGTGAATTTACTTCTTTGCATTAGGAAAAGTTGTGGACTGAGAGTTGATTTTCCTCTTTGGCTCAGCCTCTGTGGCAAGAGCGTATCTTTCTGGTAGCTTTCAAGGGCATTCATGAGATGCCCCATGGCAACAGCCATGTCTGCTTCAAGTGCATGGGGAGGCCTCTCTGAGTAGTCTTTTCTGAATACTCTCTGTATCCAGCAAAACCGATCCCTCGTGGTGCTGTTCTCTGTCCTACCTCCAGCTTCTCATCTCCAGATGCAAACTGTGGGAGGGGGTTAGTGGAAATCTTTCAGGGTCTCCTGGTGATTTTTTTTCCTCTGGAGTATTGGTTGCAAGCTGACCTTTGATAGCTTCCTTTAATCTGGTCCCAGGTAAACTATAGCTTGACTGTTTTCTTAAAAGTGTTAACATATGGATGGCATCCTTCCTTAGTTTCCTACTGTGATGCAGATCTTTCCTACTTTTTGTTTCTTTGGTCATTTCAGGGGGGAGCTGAGTGAGAGACAATGGAGCAAGACTTTGCTCTAGTTGTGTGTTTTGGGTGTTTGTTTTCTTTTTGGACAGAAGTCTGGTCTTCCTGCATCAGTAGGACTTACAAAGAGAAACACTGTGAACATTAGTAATTGACTATTTGGCTCTGGGACTCTGGGGAGATGTGGGTGAGAAATATAAATTTGAGGGACATCAGCCTGTGGTGGCAGTCAGGTCAGAGGAACAGCAGGGACTGCCTGGAGCTGCTTCCAAAGTCCTGAAGGTCACTGGTCCCTCTCCCAGATTCTAATTTAGCAGGCCTATGAGTCCCAAGAAACTACAATATTTTTTTTTTTAAATTTTATGTTATGTTTAAACTTCCAAATAAAGATTTCTAGAATTGGTTAACTCGGAACCCAGGGACATACATCACTTCAGTCACTCTCTTGCCATTAGTCCTCAGGAAATTAAGTGACTAGTTTAAGGTCAAACCACTAATAAAGGGTGAGACTAAAATTTGAACTCAGGCCAGTCCAAGTTTTTTGTTTTTTTGTGTGTTTTGTCTTGTTTTGTTTTAGACCACTACTTTATATGACCTCTGTGGCGGGCATGGTGATGTCGCACGCACCAGACCCTGTTTAACGAAAGACTCATTGTCCCAGCAGCCGGGAGTGCAATCAGCAGATGGACTTCAGCTCTCAGGCCACTCGGGGATGCCTCAGCTGCAGAGAACTGCCTCACTCCAGGGCACATACCTTCCTGGGCAGTACACATCTAGTGAGGGATCGATGCGGGAGTCTCAGCCCGGCTTGGGACTACTCTGAAGGAACTTTCTGTCTCCAGAGCTCCCTGTGGGTTCAGCAGAGGCTGTCCTTGGGCCCACATCACAGCTTACCTTTTCTTTCTCCCTTCCTGCTTCCTTCATCTCCCTCCCCTCCACAGGTGTTGATCCCAGAGGCACTCCTTAGTAAACCTGCTTCATGTTAAATGCTCTTTCAGAGTCTGTCTCCCAGGGAACCCAGTGTGCGACCGCCTTTCCAGGATACAAGAGCCAGACTTTCCTATTACAGAAGTCCTATGACTTCTCACCTTTCCCGGAGACCCTCTGAAGTGTTTCTGAGAATTGTCAGGTCTAGATGAAGCTGGATGTCCCTTCCCCTGGTCACTGGGACCACGCCTCATCTAGTCTTCGGATTTCAGGTATATAGGGCTCAAGAGAGATGGTTTAAATCAGGGGCTCACTGAGGCACATGGCTCCGGATTTGGAGAGTAGCTAGCCTGCTGCTTAAGGTTTGCTGACCGTTTCCCTTTCCTTCCCCATCATCCTCTGGGCTTGGAATTCTGAAGCTTGATTCCCAGTTTTAGACAAGCATCAGACGAGACAACTGATTGAATTTTTAAGCTCACATCTGATATGCCATTGCACGGTGATCTTAGTAACTTAAAAGTAAAAACATGACCTGGGCTGAAGCAAACAAATTTCAGTGTTTTTATTTCAGGTTCATTGTTTACCTTGTATTTTATCAGTTAGAATAAACAGTCAAAACATGTTAAGAAAAAAAAAATCAAGTCATTCATCAAAAGAAATTTGTTGGTTTTTCAATGTGATTAAGTACTATAGGAATATTAATAAAAATGAAAAAATCAATACTTGTACGTTGTATACAACACACAATTTTGTAATTTTGTCAGTTTCTCCACTTCACATTTTAATTATTCCTTTCAATCCATACAATCAGTATATAGAGTAACTAAGTATATGATTCAGGATATATTTCTTTATAATGGCTTAAAAATTTGTGGCATTTGGTTTTCAATTAGACATCTACGAAGATCTCATCTGTGCTAACCACTTTATTAGAAACAAATATGCAAAGTCATCCTATGGAGATTTCAAAATATTCAGCAGGCAAAACAAAGTTTATATATTAAAAATGGAATCGCGTTCGTCTAATTGGAATATTGTCGCCTTCTAATCCAGCTGACATACTCTACAGTCAGCAACAAATTGAAGCTGTGTGTTATCAACGATTGTTCAGACCACCCTAAGTATATATGCTGCGTTACATTAAATAACCTTATTTAGGTAACTGCTTTAAACATTTTGTAGACTCAAGTACTTCTTAAAGTTTTCAGTTATTGATTTTCAAATCTTCTTTGTAGGTATAAGCCTCTCAGAGGGCCAAACATAAACGCGGTTCCTGCCCAGCCGGTCTTTTCCTTTGATAACCACCCATCGTTCTCTGCTAGCCTGTCAATAAGCATTTAATGAGGACCTGCTGTGGGGCTGAGGCCTCTTCCGCAGCCTAGCAGCGAACACAAGATTAGGTTTGCCTGGAGAAGTTTACAATCAAGTTCATGGTTTTCAGGAACATAAGCCAGCATGGTTTCCTTAATTTCCTTGTCTATCACAACAACAGCAACGAGAAAGATGTTTTTCTAGGGGTGGTATTGTCTTAAGCTGATAGAAAAAAAAAATAGCCCCCAAAACTAATAAAAAAAAAATAATGACATAGTTTATATGGAATCCTGTATGATTGTCTCAGAGGTTTGCATATCCATAGATCAGATTTACAACATAAAGCACTAGGACATGTTTCTTAATTATTCATACATTAAGTTAAGGTGTGTTCTAATCTTTCATGTATTAAGAGTAAAACGTCAGGACATTTTTGTGGTTTCCTCTAACTAGTAAAACAGGAGGGAGGTTCTTCGTGAGGATTTCCAACCAAGCCATGTACAACCAATCTGATATAGATCCTTTCCTTGCCACTGGGAGGCTCCTGACAGTATGGAAGAAAAATTTTAGAAGTGACAATTACTACAGACAGTACCATCACTAGTCATCTGAGCTATTTAATAACCAGTGGCCTGAAACTTTTGTAACCCTCCCCCAAACATGAAAGCACTGAAATTATTTTGAATATAGATATTAAACTGATGTATTTCTCAGATAAGACAAATTATCTGTAAACCAGAAAAACAGGCTTAGGCATTGTAGAGCAGCAACAAAAAAGAACTATAAATTTTCACTCCTCTTTAAATAGAAAATTTGATCAACCAATATATCTTCTCCTTTTTTGATGTTAATGATTTTCCCTATAGTTTAAAGCTCTTATATTTGGCAGAAACCTCAGAAAACAGCTAGGTGAAAACTCCTACCCAATTCAGGAGACTGTTCTAGGTCTCAGGTAGGTAATCCTCCAGTGTAGACCTTGAAGACTTATTACTCTTCATATATAGGAATCAGGTCATGAGGTATAAATGTGAAATAGTTGTTTTTCATGTTTAGCTATCAATCCTTAAGTAAACATTCCTATTTCCAACATGTACACCTCTAACATTTGTGGGGTGAAGGGCAAGAGTAGAAATGGAAGAATCCCCTCCCTTTTTCTCCTACCTTAGCCTCTTTCAACATAGCGAGGAGCCTCCTGAACAAGCTGTGGACTCTCTCCCTCAGGAGCACTATGCAGGGAAGGAGCCCATGAGCCTCAGTGGCTGATTTGAGGCTTGTTAGCTAGGGGGTTCCAGGGTCAGGTTCCTGGAACATGGTCTGAAGGGGGAGCCAAGGTTCTACGGGTGGGGCAGGCCAGACAGAAAGTCCAAGTGGCAGGGTCCCAGGGTGGCATTTATTTTCCTTCACTGTCTAAAATCCTACATGTTCCAATTTTTTTAAACTTTCACATGAATAGTCATGACTTTTTAAGTAGATTAATCCATTTACCTAAGATTCCTCTGTAACATCCTTAAAAGTCTGCAGGGATACTTACAGGACAATGAGGTTAGCAGCTCTCGAGTGCTCCTGTAAGAGTTCATTCAGTCGAACTTGGCGGTAACTCTGTGGACAACATTCAGATTTTGTTGAGGGCAGTTCTACCAGAATTACGAATGAGAATCTATCTCCTTACCTCAAATTATGGAGAAGTAGAAAAACCTCACTTAAAAAAAATTACAATTATTTCCTTCAGGTTTGGAAATTAATTTTTAAAAACTCACGAGAAATTCTAGAAATATAAAGAATAAGACCAGGTGGTTGTTGTGCTAGAGTGGCTTATTAAATTCTAAGGGAAAAACAAGTGAGCAGGAAACATGGATAATAGTAAAGGGAAGGTGAGAACGGTCAGTTCTGGAAACAGGTTTGAGGTAGAAGAACTAATCCTGATAACCAATTTGATATCTTAAGAACATAAATTATATCCTAGTCTACATTGTTTAGGCTCTTTGAATAAAAGTCAGCCAAGACTCACTTGGAAAAAGAACTACATTTACGATTTTGCAGCAATAATACTTATTACTGTATTTCATTGGTTCAGAAACCAAGGCTTAGATGTATGATTTGCTCAATTATGCAAAAAATCTTTGTTAGAAGTGAGCAGTTTATTAAAAAAAAGAGAGAGAGAGAGAGGGCAAACCAAAACGCGGACTCTTAACTATAGAGAATAAACTGAGAGTTGCTGGAGGGAGGTGGGTGGGGGATGGGCCAAGTGTGTGATGGGCTCTAAGGAGGGCACTTGTGATGAGCACTGAGTGTTGTATGGAAGTGATGAATCACTAAATTCTACACCTGAAACTGATACCATACTTTTTGTTAACTAACTGGAATTTAAATTAAAATGTGAAATTAGGGGCGCCCGGGTGGCTCCGTTGGTTAAGTGACTCTTGATTTCGGCTTAGGTCATGATCTCAGGGCTCTGTGCTGAGCATGGAGCCTGCTTAAGATTCTCTCTCTCTGACTATGGACTCTGAGAAACAAACTGAGGGTTCTAGAGGGGAGGAGGGTAGGAGGATGGGTTAGCCTGGTGATGGGTATTAAAGAGGGCACGTTCTGCATGGAGCACCAAGTGTTATAGGCAAACAATGAATCATGGAACACTACATCAAAAACTAATGATGTAATGTATAGTGATTAACATAACATAAAAAAAAGATTCTCTCCTCCCTCTGCCCCTCCACCGGCTCTCTTTCCCTCTCTTAAAAAAAAAAGTGAAACTAAAAAAAAAAGAAAAAGAAAAAAGAAAAAGAAAAATCCTCCCAACCCCCGCAAAAAACAAACAAGCAAGCAAAGAACTGGGCAGTTTATTATACACAGTTTATAAATCTTAGCTCAGTATTTTCTCCAGTAAATTCGAAAAGCTTTAGTATCTCTTGTTTAAATTGTTTCAAGTTCAGCTCTTAATGTAGTTTGTTTATTTATTATATCCCCCCCTACAACATGTGCCTGATCCAACTTTCATAATCACTGTTCCAATTACATATTTTCTCAGATCGCTTTGTTAGTTTTCATAACTTCATCAGGTTAAAATTCTTTGTTACTGTGTTAAATTGAGTCAATTACCTTTATCTACTTTGCACACATATTGACTTGACTTAAATTATTTTAGACCCATGGATTCCGTCTTCTGTTCTACAAAATTAAATTTGAAAGGAGACTTCACAATATATATCAATAATCTGGGGGTTTTTTTTATCTTTTAAAAAAAGAATTGATTTTATATTAAGAAATGAAAACCAGTTTCTAAATCCTCATATCCAGTAATATGATTGTAAAGCACTTGAAAAATGCAGAAACCCTAGATCTTGAATAATGAAATTCTATAACTGATATGTTACTTCTTGATCTTTGAATCAACCACTGTTTTCTTTTTCAGCTAGACAGTAAAGTAAAAATTAAGGAAGACAAGTCCTCACCTTTTCCTTGACTGCTTCCAGTTCTGCATCTGTAATTTTCCATGGGGTTTCTCTCTTTAATTTCTCAGCAGTTGTTAAATCTTTGCAGCTTTCATGGAGACGATATGGTTCAATCATCTCTTCAAAGACTTTCCAGCTGAAATTGGAATTATAAAGGAGGGCTCACAGTGGGAAACTAACTCATTATTTCAGATACTCCAGGTATGACTGGCTCTGCTGGCTACAGAATCAGAGCTGAATGTCATGCAAATCTTTTAAGAATTATCTTTGCAGGGGACTTACTGCGAGTAAAGCCATGGATATGGTACTGCCTCCCTACCCAAGGAAAGGCCTTAATATGTTGAAGCCTTGTTAGCCTACTGTATTTTAGATCCTCAATATAAACGCACCAACACACAGATAATAATTATTCTGCAAATACATTTCCTACATGGTGTAGTCTAAGACACCATTGTAATGTAGACACTTTAGCCCATAAATAAGTTTCCGTCTGCTTAAATGAGTTTCCATCTGCTTATTGTACAGACTGTCTAGGAGACATTCATGAATTACTGTGGGAGATGAACTAGGTTGCTTGGGATGGGAGTTGGCTAGGCCTGCCCTCTCCTTTAGTCCACGCGACCCTCCCCCTGCTGGCAGGGGGCATCGGTGGGCAGCTAGAAGAATAGCAAATTCAATGGTTATAGAGGAATTTGGATGTTTGCTGCAAATAATGCAGCCTTTGTCCTTCTGATGACTACTGTTGCTGTCTGAGATTTTTAAATGACTATTTTTCAGGTGCATGTTAGAGGAAAGAATAAAAATCAATAATATTTTAATGTCTACAAATCTGAAGCCACTTTAGAGCAATTAAGAAGAAGTCATTGAGTAGAAAACTAGCAGCAGTATCTCACAGCTGTGGAACATTTTAAAAAGTGCTAAAAAATCTCATTTTGTCTTTCATAAGAACCTTAAAGATTTTTTTTAAACAGTAGTACAGAACAAAGCTTACAGTTTATGAGAGTGGTTGTCTTCAGTGTGTTACTAGAAGATGATGCCAAATATAAACAGTGTCTTTCGGTTTTATATAATGTGGCCTACTTATAATTTAGTAACTTTGAGATGAAGAGTAACTACAATCAATGCACTGTGAGGTTAAGGAATTAAAATATGATGGCATGAGGTCAATGATCTCATCGGTTGCCCTGATTTAGGATCTGCAGATCAAAGTGCAGAGATTATAAAGGAGCACCTACCAGTGCCTTTGTTAAGGGATTGAAGAGGTACTTAATGTTGTAGATTTCTGACACTTTGATTTATTTAGAATGGTGGACAACAACGGGGAACCACTGATATGCCCTATTATTCTTTCCACTACATAATACTTTTATTTGCTCTTCCTCCTAACTGTGCCATGCCTTCAGAGACCTTTGGCCCTAATCTGTGCACTGGAAAGGTACCAGTCTAGGAGAGAAGAGCCTTGGTTCTCATGCTGGCTCTTCCATTGTCCTCCTGGACCTGGATAACCTTGCCTATAAAAGGAGGTAATGGTGGCTGCTCAGAGCTGGCCTGAAGATTGGTGTGATGGTTGGATGGTGATTTGGGTGACAGTGCTCTGAAAAGTGTACAGCACCCTGTAAAACCAAGGCACTCATTTTACTGAACAGCCATGGGACTGAGATGAACAATTGAGAGGCTCTCTGTTTAAGCTCTCCATATACTTATTTTGATCAGGATAAAAGTTTCTGCATCTCAGCCCAGGTGCTTATTAGAAAGACCAGTTCAAAAATAGTTTCCTAAGAAATGGAAGTGGAGTGGAGGTTGCTCGTTGTTTCCCCAGCATCCATTGTAGTTTGGGTGGGAGTGACTCCATCCCCAGCATCAGCTAATCAGCACAATTCTATTCTGTCTGCCAGAGTGGTTGGCCAGGGTAGCCACAGAGGCCAGGCAAGCTTGATCAAGAGGCACCTAGCATTCCACTGACCAAGTAAGTGACTTAGTTGCTTAGGTTGGTCCACCTTGAATGGAGCCCGTGAACTGAGTTCAATGACTGGAGAAGAGACAAACTTTCTCTCCCACTGAACATAAATGAGCAAGTATGTAGTTCTGGTTGCTGTCATCTTGTTTTTATGAGCTAAATCAACTTTGATTGATGATTTCATAATGGACCAAGGTAGAGCAGAGGTAATGGAAGAGAATTAGTCTTTGATTATATATAAAATTAACCTTCTAGATCAAGCTTTGCCTGAAAGCCAAAACATAATTGGATTTTTCAGTTATGTTTGCCAATAATTTCATTATTTAAGTCATAAGTTTTCTTTTCCTTGCACTGAAACATGCTAAGTGACATAATAGGTTATAATGGGGATGTATTTGCCCATTTATTTTCTCTCAACTCTTACTGTTCCTTGTCTATGTTCATCTTTGACTTCATCCTAAGGTTCATCCCTGAACTGGCCATTTTCCATTCTCCTAGCTAGGTGATGCAAAGGTGGCTCAAGATTCCTATCCTGATTCTCATTAAATCTGATTTTTCACATAAATGTTTTTTAATTGACTCTAGAATGGGCCAAGTGGACTCTAGAATAGGCCAAGTAGTTGATTCTAGAAGAGGCTAATAGGCTCTAGATTAGGCCAAATAGGCCATGCTTTGAATATAAATGACAACTAATTCAATTTAAAAATTAAGTTACACCTGCCTTGCCTTTCCCATCCTTATTCTTCATGATAACGAAATTTAAAAATTTTTTAATTGTAAAAAAATTTTCCCCTAAGTTCATATAAGATTTCCTTTCTCAAATTAATATACTAGTTGTTTTGTGACCACTCTAGTATCTTTTTTAAACAGATTTTATTTATTTATTTATTTATTTGAGAGAAAGAGAATGCAGGGAGAGGGGAAGGGGGGAGGGAGAGGGACAAGCAGACTCTTTGCTGAGCATGGAGCCCCACACAGGACTGGATCTCATGACCCTGAGATTATGACCTGAGCTGAAACCAAGAGTCAGCTGCTTAATGGATTGGACCATGCAGGCATCCCACCACTCTAGTATCTTTAAATTATCCAGGTAATTGCTTCTACTTTCTCTTTAATTTCTGGATAAAGATTGTTGTCTTTTTGGCCTATGACTTTTAATTCAGTATATTCAATAGAAAATGAAATTTAATCACAAGAGATTTTCAGTTTCTCCAAGCTCAATCATTTTCTCATTATCTTTGCTTTTGTATTCCCTTTCACCCTTGCCCAGCCATAATTATGATGTTTCTTTGGTAAAATATCTCCATCAACACTTACTGATGTTTTATGGGTAGTTGAAAGATTTATTAGAGGCAATTTAGGTACATTTAACATTAGCCTCCAACATGGAAATAATTGACAAACTATTTTTGACATTGTGTGTCACCTGAGGACCAAGAAAAAACAGTGATGAGGAGATAATTGTTAATGGTAGGTAGGGGCTGCCTGACCAAGAAGAGCTGAAATTGAATTGGCACTCTAAGCACTGGGCCCTAGGACAGGGCCTGCATCAGCCCAGAGGAAGAGTCTTCTTACTCAAATTGAACTCAGAGGAATTGCCTTTTAAAAATTATCACAAAGGCCTCAACAAAGTAGGTTTAGAGGGAACATACCTTAATATAATAAAGGCCATATATGAAAAACCCACAACTCATCATAATCAATTGTGAAAAACTAATAGCTTTCCCCCTAAGATCAGGAATAACACAAGAATGTCCACTCTCACCACTTTTATTCAACATAGTACTGGAAGTGCTAGCCATAGCAATCAAATAAGAAAAAGAAACACTCAAATTGGTAAGGAAGAGGTAAACTTTCACTACGTGCAGCTGACATGGTATTACATATCAAAAACCCTAAAAATCCCACCCAAAACTACTAGAACCAATAAATGAATTCAGTAAGGTCACAGGATACAAAATCAATTATACAGAAATCCATTGCATTTCTATACACTATATACTAATATAGTATATATTTCTATATACTATATATTACTATATACTATATATTACTATATTACTATATACTATATACTATATATAATATGCTATATATCCTATATATTACTATATAATATATATTTCTACATAATATAGTATATATTTCTATATCCTAATTGGGAAGCAACAGAAAGAGAAATTAAGAAAGCAATCCCTTTTACAATTGCACCCAAAATAATAAAATATCTAGGAATAAACTTAATCAAGGAAGTGAAACACCTATACTGAAAAGTATAAAACATTAATGAAAGAAATTGAAGATGACACAAACAAATGGAAAGATATTTCATGCTCATAAATTGGATCAAATATTGTTAAAATGTCTATACTACTTAGAGCATTCTACAGATTTAATGCAATCCCTACAAAAATACCAATAGCATTTTTCACAGTACTAAAACAAATAATCCTAAAATTTGTATAGAACCATGAAAAACTCCAAATAGCCCAAACAATCTTGAAAAAGAAAAAACAAAGCTAGAGATATCACAAGTCTAGATTTCAAGTTATACTACAAAGCTGTAGTAATCAAAACAGTATGGTCCTGGCACAAAAATAGACACAGATCAATGGAACAGGATAGAAAGCCCAGAAACAAACTTGTGATTATATGGTCAATTAATCTTCAACAAAGGGGGCAAGAATATGCAGTGAGAAAAAGACAGTCTCTTCAACAAATGGTGTTGGGAAAACTGGGCAGCTATATGCAAAAGAATAAAGCAGGACCACTTTCCTATACAATACACAAAAAATAAACTCAAAATGGATTAAAGATGTAATGTGAGATCTGAAACCATAAAAATCCTAGAAGAGAGCACAGGCAGTAATTTCTCTGACATCGGCCATAGAAACATTTTTCTAGATATGTCTCTTAAGGCAGGGGACATAAAAGCAAAAATAAAATATTGGTACTACATCAAAATAAAAAGCTTGTGCACAGTGAAGGAAATAATCAACAAAACTAAAAGGCAATACTGAAGGGAAAAAGATATTTGCAAATGACATATCTGATAAAGGGTTAGTACTGAAAAATATATAAAGAACTTACACAACTCAACACCCAAAAAATAAATTATCCAATTAAAAAATGGGCAGAAGACATGAACGGACATTTCTCCAAAGAAGACATACAGATGGACAACAGACACATGAAAAGATGCTCAATATCACTCATCATCAGGGAAATGCAAATCAAAACTACAATGAGATACCACCTCATACCTGTTGGAGTGGCTAAAGTCAAAAACACAAGAAACAGCAAGTGTGGTGAGGATGTGGAGAAAAAGGAACCATTGTGAACTGTTGGTGGGAATGCAAACTGGTGCTGCTACTCTGGAAAATAGTATGGAGGTTCCTCAAAAAATTTAAAATAGAACTACCCTATGATCTAGTAAATGCACTACTGGGTATTTACCCAGAGAATACAAAAACACTAACTTGAAAGGATATATGCATCCCTATGTTTATTGCAGCAGTATTTACAATAGCCAAAGTATGGAAATAGCCCAAGTGTCCATTGACTGATGAATGGATAAAGAAGATAAAGATATGTACATATCTGTACATATGTATATGTGGTACATATATGTACCATATCTTCTTTATCCATATATATAAATATGTATATTTGTATGTATATAAAATATATAATATGTATATATATACACACACACAATATATCATTCAGACGTGTAATATATTATATATATACACAATATATTACTCAGCCATAAAAAGGAATGAAATCTTGTCATTTGCAGCAATATGGATGGAGCTAGAGTGTAATGCTATGTGAAATAAACCAGTCAGAGAAAGACAAATACCGTATGATTTCACTCCTATGTGGAATTTAAGAAACAAAACAAATGGAGAAAGGAAAAAGAGAGAGAGAGAGAGAAATGAACTAAGAAACAGATTCTTAACTATAGAGAACAACCTGATGGTTATCAGAGGGGAGGTGGGTGGGAGGATGGGTGAAAGAGGTGAAGTAGATTAAGAGTACACTTACCATGATGAGCACTGAGTAATGCATAGAATTGTTGAATCACTGTATTGTACACCTGAACTAATATAAGATGGTTAACTATACTGGAATTAAAATAAAAAAACTTAATAAAAAAATTATCACAAAGGTACCAGATGTGCTACCAATGGCCTTCTGTGAGATTTACTGAGTGATCATTCTCTGTTTTAAAATAGGGTTGCCTTTATATATTTGAACATCATTGCCAACACCAGATACGTGACTGTTCTACAAAGCAGTATGGTATCAGTTACGGTGGAGAGCTGAGGGGAGGAGAATGGCATTTCCAGCACCTCTCTTCTTGGTGGTATTTTGTCTTCACACCAGGGTACATTAGCTGCAAAGATTCTTTTATTCCAGTTAAAATGGATTTTGGTTTTTTCATCTTCCTCAAGACCTTGAACTATCAGAGAAAAAAATCCCCCAAATTGTGAAATCTAATTCATTTTTTTTCCCGAGAAAGGGAAATAGATCTCTTCATTGCAGGATGATGGGGATATATAAGAAACAGCACATTAAAATGGTGTCTAAAAGCAAATTTAGATACCAGGACAAAAGCAAAAATGCCTGGTCCTTCATTTTTTACTCCTCTCCATAATGTCGGCTGCCTGGAAAGAGAAAAACATGGCACAAAGTTCAGGGTTAGTCACAGAGATTGTGTCTAGCCCACGATGGGCACTCAGACAATGGAAGGCACTAGTGGAAGAGGTACATGGACATCCTTGGTGATAGGACAGATAGGACAGGTATGCAGGGGGGGACCATGGCAGCTGAGCAGAGACTAGCATGAAAGAAAGGGAAAGAAACTTGGGTAGAGAAAACCAGATTGATCCGCAAAGAGGCAAAGGATAGAGGAACAAATGAATCAGCAAGCACAGACAGTCCTTAGCTGATGTTAAGACAAACAACAGCAAGAAGAATTTGGCTACAAGAAGTACATGACTAATCTGTGCCCAGCACCGAGCCAGGGCTAATAGAAAACCTGAAGTCAGTAGGGGACACCATGACTACCCTCCAGACAACAGTAAATGGCCCTATGCTTGCCGAGCTCTGGCAGGCTCTGGGCTGTTGCGACATGGCATGTGCTAGGAAATCATTGTACCTGCTGTGTTATGAAATAGAATGCATTTCCACCAGTTAGAGACATAAGAGGAGGCTGTTTGATCACATCACTGCAAAAGCCAAAGAGGCAATGTCTTAGGAATTAAAATTCTTCAAATGAAATGTGGAAGGCTACCAGATATTACTACATGACAACCCAGTTAATGGCAGAATGTTAATTACTTTTACCAAGGAGGATTATAAACTCTTCTTAATTTTTCTTAAGTTTTTAAAACTGTAGAAATATAGGAATAGAAGGCATTAGTATATACCATGTGAGGAACAGTAATAACCCAGGTGAGCTCTGTCGATTATAGCTTTCTTATCACAATTAGGATGTTTTGTAAAGCCATTTTGACTGACCCGTAGCCTTGGAGGACTCATGAATCCCTCAAATGACATGAAGTTCAAGGTTGTTGTGTAGTTGATAAGATTGCATCTTAAATCTGGATGATTTTCTGTTAGGTATTAAGCTCACATAGGATAGCAATGAATCAAAAGAAGGGAAGAACAGTTAAGACTTGAGTGTGGAATTGCAAGCCATCAGGAGCTGCAGGAGGAAGGAGAAATGACGGTCAACAGAAGTGAGAACAGGTCCATCAGAAGAGGGAGAACCGAAGCTACACTGAGATCCTTGTGTCCCTCTGTACTCTCAGCCTTGAAGGCCCCACTCCACACCAAATCACATGTATTAAATCGCATCCAGATGCAGCAGTAAATATGATTTTGGACTGTAAACAACTGAAAAATATTATAATTGGTAAGTTATCACTCTAAGTAGTTTATTTAATATCAGCTATAATTTCCAGTCCATCTTCTTGCACTTCTGGGAACTCCTGTGAGGATCTAACCTACAAGCTGTTTCATGGACTTGACAAATTTAAGTTAACGAGGGTTAAAATGATGTCATGATTTGAAGATGTTTAAACAATTATTTTCAGCATTTTAAAATTCCGGAGCCAATACACTTCCTTGCCAGGCTTCAGATAGTTTTAGAGGACCCCCAAAATTCCATAGCTCTAAGTGCTGGGTCCTTAGTGCCTGAAAGTGAAAATGGCCATGGAGGGTCGGTTCTGTCATTGGGCCAGGAAGACTCAAGCGGTTTCTAGCTTCTCTATCAGAGCTCCCCATCCAGGATACACCACCAGTAACTTTAAAAAAAAATTTTTTAAAGATTTATTTATTTATTTTATAGGGAGGGGAAGGGCCGAGGGGTGGGGGGAAAGAGAAAATCTCAAGTAGACTCCCCGCTGAGCAAGCGCGGGGCCTGAGGTGGGGCTCCATCTCACGACCCTGAGATCATGACCTGAGCTGAAATCAAGAGTGGACGCTCAAATGACCATGCCGCCCAGCCACCCCACCAGTAACTTCAAATAATGAAAACTTGCCCTGACTGCCCAGTCCAAAATATCTGAGCTTGTGTCTCCTGCTACTCTTGCCGCCATAGAAACCAAGAACATGAAGGGCAATCCTAAAATGCTAACTAACCTGTGTTTTAACAGTTCTCCCTCTCAAGCTCAATTTTACCATAAAACCTTTTTCCCTCCATTATAATTTATTTGACCGCTCTGCATGGTTATTCGAAGTCCCTTTTTATTATATCTTATTAGGAGGTCACTGCAGTTGGTAGATAACATTTTTACCCTTTAATAATCAGCACAAAAGAAAATGTGAGAGTACCAGGGGCAAACCATGGATCTTGTTAAATGCTTCATACCTCTCTTTGTTTGGCTTAATGTTGATGTCACCAATGATATGGATATCTGCAAATTTTATCCTAAATTTGCTCAGAAGAGAAGCCATTCTGGAAATATAAGAGAGAAATACTTCATCACTGCATATGTAACTATTTTCAGGCAAAGAGTTCACATCTTATTTCAGCTTCATATTCAGACAAAGGCTGTGTTTAGTGTTTGATTTCCATCACCGTATACTAAAAGGGGACCAAGCACATTCCATTGAAGGCAAAGACAAATTCAAGTCGGTGCAGACCCTAGGAATAGCAAACCCAACTCTGCATTCACATTTCAGGTAAGACAACAGACCGCTGTACGTGCTTCCTTATCATTTGGGAAAAACGAGAACAAGTTTTAATATTATTGACTATTATCTTGCTGATCATTTTTAGAGTTATTGACAACATACTGACAAACTAATATTTATGATATATCATTATATATTGGAGGTTCTTTCCCTGGCAACTGAAATTTTTGATACAATTTCCAAGTTACAGAAAAATTGCAAAGACGGTGCAAAAAATCCCAAACTCAACCAATTGTTTATACATTGTTCCATTTGATGTAACACCTTTTTCTCTTTCTGCACAGCTGCATCTGTCTATCTACATCTTCCTTCTTTCTTTCTTGCTTCCTACTCACCTACCCAGTTGCCCAGCTGCCGCTATCAGGCCCCTTTACCTATAAATACTTCAGTATTTCCTAAGAATAAGAACATTCTCTTATACAAACAAAGTACACTTTTTGAAATCAGGAAATTTAACATTGATGCAATGCTATCATCTAATCCACCAACCATTTTTAAATTTCATCACTTGCCCCAGTAAGTTACTGGAGGCTTTAAGAAAATATAAATTGTTATAGCCATCATGTTAGTTTCCATTATAACATGACTCTCTTTAAGCGGAATTAAATATATATATATATATATATATATATATATATATATATATATATATATATATATATATACACACACACACATATAATATATATAGTTTACATTATATATGAATATATATATTTTATATGTGTGTGTGTGTATAATCCTCCCAGGAAGGGGGAAAAATATGAAAAATTACTGAATAAAAGCCTGTCATTTTGATTTCTGGAAGAGCTTGGGACTCAGGCCTGCCATGAGGGACCCAAGGCTGCGAAAGGTGGCTCTCCAGATTTCCACCAGAGACCTTTGAATGCATGGCATTCCTAACATGCTTGCTGCTTCCACAACTACACATCAGGCTCTCCATGACTAAATCAATTACAAAGATGCAAATTTACATTCTGGAGACTGATTTATTTTTTTAATTACAAGAGTTTTCAACAGTCGTCCATTTAAACTCTTTCAAGCTACAGATGAGAAACTGGGAACCCAGGTCTGGGCTGCCACGGCTATTGCGAAGTCCCGAAGCTCGTTGGGGGCGAGGCTGGGACAAGGACCAGGTTCAGTCTCTCAGTTCTATTTTTTAAGTGTGCTATGCCGGAGTGACCATCACGAATCAACAGGTTCGACCCGCCCCAAAGAAGCTACTGGATACAAATTCCTTTGGGCTTTTCCTTTCTTGGATACATTCACTGGTCAAATCAAAGCAAACATTACACAAGATAAGGAGAGTCCCATTCAAGACTTGAGATGAGGTTTCTGTGTCAAATTCCTTTTTGAAAGCATTTGTGGCAGGGGATCAAGGGACGTGAAGACAGTGATTACAAGAAGTGCGCAGATAATTTAATGACCAGAAAACCAAGTAAACATGAGTCCCATCACAGTGGTTTTGTCTTTAAATCTCTTGTGTCTCAAAAACACTTAAAGTTCTTAAAATTAAAGCATTAAAGCAACAGACGTCCAAAGTGCTCTAACACAGAAGTGATGAATTACTTACGCTATTTTTTCTTCTTCAATGCGGTTGATCTTTCCTCCAACATAGATTCTTAATTTACAGTCTTTCCACTTTTTTCTGAGAGTCAAGATATAGGGGATAAGGAGTGTTAACCCTGAAAAAAGAATAAATTATGACAGAAAGAATGGATATATCTTGCTGAAAGGAAATGAATAGCTTTAAATCTTTATTCATTCTCATACTCATTGCTCCTAAATAATTTAAAGTCTTGGGAAAACACAGAAATATTATTCTTCAAGTGATACCATTTTCATATACCTTCCCGTGCAGTTTGTTAAATTGATCAACATAGCAATTCTGCACCCTAGTGTATATTCTGGAATTGTTTTTACCTCCATCATCAAACAACCACCACACATCAATTGTGCCTTTTCCTTGCTTCTTTTTAAATTGGGTGCTGGCTTCTACCAGTTTCTGGTTGAACTCCCCCACGTGCATCGACTGGATTGTGTTCATGCTGCTGTCTGTAATGAAAGAAAAAGTAGTAGACCTATTTGTCTTTTGAAGAAAGAAACAAAATAACTTGCCAATAAATCTATTCAGGAAAATAGAGGAAGGGTCATGAATCTGTAAGCTTTTTTATCCTTATAGGGAAACAGTGAGCTCGGGGAAAGGGAGATAAAGGTCAAGTCCCACAGTAATTTAGATCACCTTTAATAGTTCAAAAGAATTTCATATTGGTTTCATGATCACAGTTTTCATTATAAAGCTGTAGATTATTTTCAGGTCTCTAGTAATCTCAGGGCAGAATTATTACTTAGGCAGGTAACGATGCTAAATGATCTGCTACAATAGCCAAAATACCCCTATTTTTAAAAACTTCAACTATAACTCAACTTAATCCTATTTTCAAATTTACTTGGAAGTAGAAAATGTGGTGATTGGTTTTCTAGAGATAAGCAATAGGATCAGGAGTGTTTCTTCATTGGAGCATTGATTTGAGTGCAATTGGTGTAAATTCCATGCATATCTGGATTATAAAGGTGGCTAGGGACCAAATGCATCTTGACTCTATGACCCTTTGGTCCTAATGTCAGCCTAGCTTGCTTTCCTGTTTTCAAGGAGCCTTGTGAAGGGAAACCCCTGAGCTATCTGAATCTCTGTGAATGAGACAGAAAAGCCAGGAAATAAGGAGAGACAAAATTCCTTCACTTGAGGTAGAGATAAGGGTGCATAGAAAGTACTTATTTTTTTTTTTACATGCACTTTCCACCCTATCAAGGATCCAGCGAAAGTATACTAGGGAACTAGGCCAGTGTTTGCGCAGGACCCTGGCTTCTATTTGCCAGTTGAGATTTTCGTTGCTACACCATAGGTATCATTTCTCATTTCCACATCTTTTAAAGTTGTGACTTCATTGCTTCGTTTCAAAGAGATGGTGTTAGCAAAGTGCTTACAACAGCTGCTTCAGAGCTTCCTCTCTGATCTGAGAGGTTCTGAAGATGCTTTGTTCTGTCTTGCCGTTTCCACGTTTAGGGCCTGTCAGTTCTGAAGCAATTCTCTTACATGGCTTCTCTCTCCCTAGGACTGCTGAGGGAGAAAGCAAATATCTTTACAAAATGGACCAAACTCTGCCCCCACTTACATGCAAATCAAAGCATCCAGAGGACTCAGGCATTCATGCCTGAAGGTAGGGTTTGTCCTGATCTAGAACTCCAAAGAGTTGTCAATCAATGAAAGCCCAGAGCGGTGAAGGGGCCTCCTTTAGGGATGCGTTTGAAATTTGAGATGTTGGAAATAAAACATAACATTATTTTGCTTTTCTGAGCAATGAGACCTGTTGACTTGCAGAAGAGTACGTTTTTGCCAAAAGATTTGTGATGCAGAAACAGGATTCCAGAATAAATTATGAGTCCCTTTTCATTAATAAGAACATCGATGCTTCCCTCTTGCCCCATCAGCTAAAGAACAGTATTGGGCTATGACTTCTGAATTTTCCATTGCTTTTCCAGACTGTAACTAACATTGAATGATTGAATGGTAGAGCAGATTCAATGAATAGTTCACATTTCTCTGAATAAACCAAATAATTGAAAAGGAAAGAAGACAGTTAGCATCCAGATGGTCTTATTCTACTATTTACACCCTGGAGGCCCTGATGTACCTCCAACTTGAGATTCAAACACATCATTTTCCTAGACAATGTCATGTTAAGGTGGGCAATACTTAGTAGGTTTTTCTATAGCCCATGGAATATTCCAGGAACCCAAGTGTACTTCTAGTATTTGAAGGGGGGCAGTGTTTACATTTCATGTTATTCTATATAAATATATAAAAATATTGTATTACAGGGGAAACTTTGTCCTTGGGCTATAGTAGGAAAACAAGCAAACAGAATCAAACCTTCCCCAGGGTGTTAGAGGGCCTCATTGAAGGATCTCTTTGAAAGTTTGGATCCTGTCAAACTGGACCAGAAGCCTTCTAAGTCTCAATTTGGATCTTGCTGTTTGACTCGAAAACCCTCCCAGAGAAATGATCTTTTCTGGGGCTCACACCAAGTGATTACATTAAGTGTAGGATTATTTGTGTACGTTAACATTCTAATTTTCTACCAGCAGAGGTCGCCGTGGGCCTCATTAAACTCAAACCTGCAGTGTTTTGGGAAAGAAAGCGATTTTCAATTTTCAAAAAAAGTCAGATGTTTGAATCACCTGTTTATAAGTTTTATAAAAAGCTCTCATTCTGTAGTCTTCCATGCCTGGGGTGCATACTGGACGTTCAGAGGTAAATGTACCACTCAGCTGAAATCTACAGGTAATTAGTATCAGTGAAGTTCCAAGTCCAGAATTCTGATTTGTGTTAAGATAGATGCTTTTTCAAAATTAGGGATCTCATTTACCTGTACTAGTCAACTTTTAGCCTCCTGAAATGTCTGCAAGGGGTATGTAAGGTGTGTGTGTGTGTGTGTGGGTGGGTGTGGGTGTGTGTAGATAAATCCATTTGGGTATTGGTTCTTAAATTTCTATCCCCTTTCCATCTTAACTAAGAAATGTCCATTTCATGGCACTCAAATCCATGTAGGCACTATAGGACTCCCAAACCAATATTATTATTTTAAAATTAAGGTTTTACAGTGAGATGGCACAAAGGGCTTATTGTTACTGATAAATAACTTATACATTTCATCTGTACTACTGTCTTGAAAGAAGCGTCTTTCAGTCCTTCGCTAACTCAGTGCCCCCAACATCTCAGATGCTGACTTCTGACCCCTCTCGATACTCAAGCAGTGGCTCATTTCGTATATTTCTTGTGAATTTTAGAAGTACTTACCTTTCTTAGGAGCTGGCTTAGTAATGTTCAACTTGCTAGCTTTTTTAAAGAAGCCTCGGATGCCTCCACTTCCTTCTTCACATTCATTATCTTTGATAGTGGCTTCCAAAGCCAGTCTCTCCTGTTCCAATTTCTCTAATTCATCTAATGCAAGAAGACAAAAATCACTTACTTAATTCAGAGTAACAAAGTTTCCAGGAGCAACCTTATAAAGTGTTTTAATATAAAAAACGGTGTCCCATTTGCAACGATGTGGATGGAGCTAGAGAGTATTATGCTAAGTGAAATAAGTGGAATATTCCACTATATGTGGACTTTAAGAAAGAAAAACAGATGAACATACGGGAAGGAGGAAAAAGGAGAGAGGGAAACAAACCAGAAGAGACTCTTTTTTTTTCTTTTTTAAAGATTTTATTTATTTATTTGACAGAGGGAGCGAGCACACAAACAGGGAGAGCAGCAGAGGGAGAGGGAGAAGCAGACTCACCAGTGTGCAGGGAGCCCAATGTGGGACTTGATCCCAGGACCCTAAGATCATGACCTGAGCCAAAGGCAGACGTTTAACTGACTGCGCCACCCACGTGTCCCCATAAGAAACTCTTAATGATAGAGAACAAACCGAGGGTTGCTGGAGAGGAGATGGGTGGGGATGGGCTAGGTGGGTGATGGGTATTAAGGAGGGCACTTGTAAAAGAAAAAAAGGAAGGCACTTGTGATGAGCACTGGGTGTTGTATGTAGATGATGAATCGCTGAATTCTACTCCAGAAACCAATATTGCACTGTATGTTAACTAAGTAAAATTTAAATAAAAAGTAAATAAAAAATAAAACATGGTGTCTGTGCAATAAAATTATTATACATCATATGATTTTTTCCAAATGATTATCAAAAAGTAATACATACCAGCAAATTGTATTCAGAAAGTAATAACAAGCTCAGGAAATAGCTCTATGTGTTGTTACAATACATGAAGTTACTAGGTTTTTATTTGTGAGGGTAAGGGAGTTTAATGACATCTTCATTCACTTCCGGCAAAACCCAAAAAGCCAGATCCGCTGTACGTAAGATCATGTACACGGTACGCCACTGATTTACTGACCTAAACCCCTGGGTTGGGTATTTGACAAGCGGAAGTGCCAAAGTATACCGGGTGTATATCAGGCACACGACAATGCCTCCTGAATTGCAGCATAAAACTAGACAGCAAGAATTAAGGACAGGTAACCAAACCTTATATAAAGCCTTGGATGAGCTCTGAATAGAAATTACAGTGAAAAATGTCCACTAACCATTCTTTTTTTTTTTTTTTTTTTTTTAAGAGAGAGAGAATGCACACACGGGAGCAGGGAGAGGGAGAGAATCCTAAGCAGGCTTCACACCCAGCATGGAGCCCTCACGACCCTGAGATCATGACCTGAGCTGAAATCAAGAGTTAAATGCTTGACCGACTGAGCCACCCAGGCACCCCAACAATTCTTTCTCATAAGCAAAATACTTTCTGGAATGAATGACCAAAGTGAAAGAAAGAAAAACTGAGGTTTCTGTGTGCCTGTCAGAGTCCAAATGGCTAAGAAGGGTCTCACGACAGTCGAGTCTGGAGCAAGAGGTTCAGCCGTGTAGCTTCCTGTCCAGGGCTGAGACCCACTATCCAAGTTTTGATGTGGCATCTGGCTGCCTTTTATCTTTTTTGGATTCTGATCGTGACCACAAATTCCTAACTGCTATGTAAGGCCTTGCATCCCTTTCTGACGTCAACCTGCATTGGATCAGGGTGAATAAGACTTTAAGAGCCATCAGGGGACAGTGTTACCGAATGACAGGCATTCTTGCTTACAGTGGGCAAGGGGGCCTCTTGTCAGACCCCTCATCTTCTTGCTTTCTGGGAGCAGAGACTTAGAAAATGAGCAATATTCTGAGGAACACAGTAGAAAACCTAGCTTCAGTGTTACAAAACACTGGTAGGGCTTCTGTAAATGTCAACCCTTGGAGTCTGTTGCCTTATCTATCTGGGAAGCGAAGCTATACAAATTCTCGATTTATCAATTATGTACTAACTAAATCTGTCAAGACACTCACATCCCTAGACGGTGCTGTGTTATGCAGCTCCACAGAATTGTCTGGCCTCTTTCCAGGTCTTAGCAATTAATCTTTTGCCAGTGGCATGAGATTTAAGGTCAAATCACCCATGTGATTTCCCCAAAGCTTCAAAGGTTCTCAAGATCAGCAACTGTAGAAAATCTAAGAAATTAGACTGATGGTATTAAAGCTCAGACAGGAGTTGCTTACCCCTGACTTTCGAGAGGTGAACACAAGCTGCATTGCATGGGAGGTCGTGACCGGTGACAGCTCTGCGGCGGGCTTTATGTGACACGAAGCGAGTCATTGACTTTTCCTATGCCTCTGATTTCCTATCTGTGAAATGGAAAATTGTAACCCTTCCCCTTTCCAACTCTCCCAGCTTCGCAAAAAGAATAAACAACAGTTTCTGCATGGTGCTTTGTGGCTCCTTAAAGAACAAAGCAACGAGCGTGTTCTACAGGCGGTGTATTCATGCAACCACTGGAAATAGACTTAGTCATGCAAAGCAAATTGAGTATTTTGAGAAGCTTGGGAGTTATTTTAGCAATTACTATTTATTGCACACTCTTTGGGTGCCCAGGACTGTGCTGCATATTATTCCTTCCCAAATGACTCTGAGATAGTTACTATTATTACTCTCATTTTGTAGATGAAGAAACTGAGGCTCAGAGAAGTTATTTGTCTGATGCCACCCGGAAAATAACAGGGTTCAAATGAAAAGAGGCCGGCTTGACTCCAGATCCTGCATGCTTCCCACTCTGAAGACCTTTTGCTTTTTGCTCGTTACTCTTATCTCAGATTTGTTCCATTAACCTCCAACACTTCATTGTCAGGCGAACCTAAACACTCTCGGGCATATGGTGTAATGCCAAGTTAGCTCCCCCAAAAGATGGCCCCTCCTGCATGTCATTTTAAAGGGAGGACCCTGAAGACACAGGTACAGATGACAGGCTGCCCCCCAGGGCAACACCACGGGAGACGTCACCGGCCCAGGGAATGGCCCCCTAGCTATTATCTACCGTTTGGGATGCTGCGGGGGTCCAGCTGTGGGGTAACCTCCTCTTTGCAGTTGTCTGGAAGGTGCATATTGGCGAGCTTCTTTGGGGGGTAATGGCAAGCAGTGCCACACTGGGGAAGGGTTTCTTTTGCTTTCCTTTTTTGGCAGCCTCCTGCACACCCTGTGATGAGGTGCTAGTTGCCACGTTCTTTGTCCTCGAGTTTGGACAAAGGAGGAAAAAAGATAAATCCTCCTTTGTCACAGAGTCAGCTGGCTGAGTGAGCTGGGAGCTACTCCAACTATTTGCTCAAACGTATGTACACAGCCCATCCTGGACAGAGCAGACTGAAAAATCCTAGGCCCCAGAGACAAAACCAGACTTCGCTGGAATGCATCAGATTCAGCAGTCCCCTCAAAGACAACAGACAGAGGCCCACAGAGAGCAGTCTGTTCTACGGGCGAAGATCTGCTTGCTTGGCCATCTTGGATTTTCACATCCACCAAGTGGTCTGATCCCTTGCACCATGATTTTGCAAATTCTTATTAGAGCTAATTCTTAATTATTCACTTTGTAGGTGATCTAAGGCCTCCTCCCATCCAGTCCATCCTTTCCTAATTTCAGTGCTAAGCAGAAGTGACGGTTTGATGATCTGTTCTGAATGATCTATCTGGTGTACTGCTCGCCTCTGTTCGCGTGCGAGTCCACAGTAGACTTTGTCAAAACATTTCTTTCAACAAGAGTACTGGCTAGCCGACTTGCAAAAGTGTACCATTGGACACAAGGGGGTGAGCCCAGGGAGTATGGATTGATAGGCATAAACTGATTTCCACGAGGCTGATGATAACCATTACTCATTCCATCAGAACTGCATTTGTGATGTTCTGGATTCACAAAGCCCTTTCCACAGAGGATCTTATCTGATCCCAACGCCACTACTGGGATGCAGGCAGAACTCGTGGCATTCTCCCCATTTGACTGTGGAGGAAACTGGCTCAGACAGTTCAAGGTTGCACAGCTGGTGATGCAAGGTCCTGCTTCCAATCCTAGCGTTTTCCCTCATTACCATCCTTCCTCAGCAATACGCTCTGATCGCCAATATCTGCCTGCTGAAGAAATACACAGTCTGCATTTTTTTTTTGAAGAGGCCATCCCCCAATTATAATGCTTCATCTTTCCATGAGACTCTGCTTCAAACTTTGTTCCAGTAACTACACCTGTGTGATGGGGAATAGAGTTTTAAGACACATGTTTATTTTAATTCCTCTGGACTGCAAATTCCTAGAGGGTAGCTTATGCCATATTTCATCGCCCCCATTTACTGAGAGTTTCTTTTGTGCCATGTACAATGCCAAATATTTTTGCAGCTGTAGTATCCTTTAATCCAAGATAGTAAATCTGTGAGCTAAATGCTATAATTATTTCTACCTGAAAATGTGAAAAGTGAAACAGAAAAGATGAGTAATTTGACTAAGGCTACTCGGCCAAAAAGCATCGAGCTGGAATTTGAACCCAGGTCTGACCGATTTCAAAGCCTACGCTTAGAGTTCTCACATTCTTAGTTGTGCCCACGCCTCCCTACTCATGCCTACCACCAGGACAAACACTCAAGAATAGTCTGTTGGAATAAAAGAACAAGTCAGTGCTATTCAACACAGTTCAATACATTTAAAAGTATCTCTATAAAGGAAGGAAAACAAAAGGATAGTTGTCAGGGCTGAGCATGTGTAAAGTACTGTGTGCAGAGGGTACAAAACACAGTGTTGAAAAGAAGCAGGGTTAATGCTGTATACAGAGTTATAAAAAGGGGACCTAATAGAGGCTGATGGTACAAACCAGGATAGGATGTGACAAACCAGGATGGAATGTGACAGGCAGAACTGAGCAGAAGAATGATGAGAGGCAGGGAAAGGAATCCTTTCCCTGGAAAGACCTGCCACCTGAACATCAGGTAGGAATTTGAAGCTTCCATAGTAGATAATTCTATAGTCTATCATGATTTACAAAACCACAATGCTAGCAAGAGACAGTGAGAGGGGAGAGAGAGAGAGAGAGAGGGAGAGAGAGAG